GTACACCTACTATCATGACGAAGATGACAGCAATTTCCAACTCGCTACTGGTGGGAAGGAGCCGAAGTCTAGTGCGTTCCGCCAGCGTTTTAAGTACCAAATGGTAGGTTCTCATTCTCCTATATGACATTTTTTGTAGCGAGGACGCGGAAGGGGAAACTTCCAATCCGGGTTCCAAGGTCGCGGTGGCGGTCAGTTTATGTCTCTGGGTAACTTTGCCGGTCGCCAACGTCGACCACTTACTGAACGCGAAAGGGCTGCTATGCAGCAGCAACAGCAACAGCAGCAACGTCGTTATGGTAATCAGCCGAATTGGCAAAATAACTGGCGTAGAGGCGGTAACTGGGGTGGTGGGGGTGGTGGTGGCGGCAGTGGTTGGCGTCAAGGTAATGATTACAATCGTCGTCCAAACCGCGGCAATCGAAATGCCTCAGTGGAGGTAAAGGAGGAGTGGAACCTCCTTGAGGACTTTGAGTTTAATCAATTTGCTTCTCTATCTCTACCATCGGTTAAGGAACCTCTCACATGGTAAGCTTGGTTTTGGTTTTTCGATAAGTGTGGCACAGTTGTTTGCCTCTTAAATGAGTTTATATCACCTAGTGCGGAATGCGGTACTGTGAAGTACTACGATCGTATCTATGATACGATAAATACCCGTAATGAGAAACCTCTCGTTCGTTTTAATGGCGTGGTGCATGCCGTGACTACCTCCGAGGATCCCGTAATCATGAATCTGGCGAGGAAGCGCCATCTCAATGTCTTTTGCACGGATCGCATCGCGGCGACCATAATGTGCGCACCAAAGTCGGTGGATTCATGGGACCTCTTGGCCATCCGCATTGCAGACAAACTCTTTTTTGACGTTCGTCCAGGTTCCAATTTTGATCATATTACGGTGGCGGAAACGGCTATTGATCCACCCAGTGAGGAGCCTGGTCACATCAACAGCCCAGAGAAGCTGGCTTTAGAGGCCACTTTCATCAACATAAATTTCTCGCAGCAAGTTTTGCAAACGGTGAGAATTGGCTTCTGTTGTCCTTTCCCCTTTGAATAAATTCGGGCCCAAATTCTCAAGTTTCGAGATTGCGGTAGGATGCTAATGGGGCTGTACTGCACTGGTGTACTGATCTCCGTTCGTCTTCCGATTTAGTATGGTATTTCTTGAATGCTCTTTTTCGCTTTGTCGATTTCATTGACATTTCATAGATTTCAGTTTGGATTCTTGTCGATGATGCGGTTTAGATGCACCTATTTTCAAATGGCCTGAACGCTTAAATTCATAGTTCTTGATCTATCTGAACACCTGACTATCCTTAAATTGGAAAATTGTGGTAGCTTGATGTTATTTCCTTTTTTAGGAAGGTAAGCCGTACAACTTAAAGCATAAGAATCCCTTTATCGACTCGGATGACAAGGAAGAGGCAGAGCGAGTGGCCTCGGTGGGCTACCGGTACCGCCAGTTTGACCTTGGCAATGGTATAAATATGGTGGTGCGGTGCGAGGTCGATGCAGTGATGCCTCTACGGGCGGAAGAGAAAGAGAAACGAGAGAATGGCGCCGGTCTGGAGGCGCCCAAGTTCTGCTGCATCAAAGCACTAAATGAATTTGACAGTCGTGTGAGTAGTACTTGATTTACATCGATAGCTGTCTGGTCATGAATTTTGAACTTATCACTTAATAGTGCCTTTTCTGATTTGGTAGTATTGTAATGGAGTAAACTGGCGCGCTAAATTGGACACGCAACGTGGTGCTGTAATTGCATCGGAACTGAAAAATAATTCGTGCAAGCTGGCTAAATGGACAGTGGCCTCTATTTTGGCCGGTGCGGACCTACTCAAATTTGGGTGAGTAGCATTTAAACACCCTTTAAGTTTGAAGTGGAACAAAAATTAGTAATTGTCTCGTCAGAGTTATGCGTGCAGAGTCAGGAAATGAAATTATGGGCCCAAAAAAATTAAATGGACAACCTTTAAGAGATGGGAATTGCGGTCTTGTCCTGCAGTCCAATCCCGCTACACCACCTAACTCTTTCAAGACAGCATCTGGACCTCAGCATGAACAGACTCTTGGCGATTGGAAATGTTCTTGTCAAAAAATGCCTTTATTGTGTTCATTTTCATCACGAGGATGATTTGTGACTTGTGCAATATCACGATGGATTAGCCATTTGTCGATCAGGCGTTCCTCGTGATGGCTTGAGCAACGGTTTGACTGACTGCTGAGGCTGTTCAAGTGAATACTGGTGGCGTTGAGCCTCATGTTCTTGCATTCGTGAAGTGGACTAGTGTGTCTATTTACTGTGACAAGGCCCAGCTGTCACCAGAAGCCCCAGGTAGGCGTCAACGATCCATTGAACACGAACGAATGACTTGTTGACGGCTAGTGACATGAAAATGAATACTTTCAGGCGCAGGCGGGTGCTGATTTCATGGGTAGGTAGATAGACAAGTAGCTGGTTTATGTGCATGTTTTAATGTTTGTAGTTTTGTGTCTCGCGTTAACCCGAAGGACACCTCGCACCACGCGATCCTGGGCACCCACGAGTTCCGCCCGACGGACTTTGCTGCACAGATAAACCTCAACATGGACAACGCCTGGGGTATTCTGCGATGCGTCATTGACTACTTCATGAAGTGCGAACCGGGCACCTACCTCATGCTCAAAGACCCCAACAAGGTGAGTGTCGCTAACATAACTATCACTTATCCTTCCGCACTATTCATTTGGTCGTAGGATAAATCGGTGGTTTACATCTGTCCTCCCGCCTTCCCCTTTATTTGCGGATGGAGTTTCTCATTGTCCCTTGCAACTGATCCCAGGCTTGAAGGATCCCTGAAACGAAGTCGATCATTATGTCATCGAAATGCTTCTTGATTCGTTTGCAGAAAAGGACTAGCCAATATCAAGTAGTGAGCTTTGGGTTCAGACCTCCCTTAAGTTCTGACATGGCAGGTTCTCTTTGGCTATCCAGCCTCCAGATTTTGGTCTCTGCAACCTTTAAGAATGATGGAGGATTCAGACTTTTTTTGTCATTAGTTCTACTCACTTTTGCTATCCAACTTGACGGCTTGGAACGAAGTTGAGTGGTGGCGATCTTCAATTTCTACAATTTCCAGCTCAATTGCTAACTTCCATATTGGGAGAACTCATAAACCGATCACTCGAAGGTATCTAAACTTGATCCGGGTCCTTTTAAATAATTTCTACTCTCAATAGTTGATTAACATCATTTCAAAGTCGCACGCTCTTCTGACTGCTGTCAAGATCATTCTTCTCCTTCTCCATTTGCAGCAATCGTTGCACATCTACTCGCTGCCGGCTAACGCTTTCGCTTCGGACGAGGAAAGCGACGAATCCTCCGAGGAACCGAACGCACAGACGACGCAGCAGCCGGCAAAGAATTGAGATCTCCTTTTCCAGATCCTGCCTTTGCCTCCTTCTCGTCGCCCTGCATCTGTT